AATAGAATAGAATAGAATAGAATAGAATAGAATTCTTTATTAGCCAAGTGTGATTGGACATACAAGGAATTTGTCTTTGGTGCCTATGTTCTCAGTGCACATAAAGAAAAATAAAATAGAATACATTCATCAAGAATCATAAGATACAGCAATACAAGTCATAGGTTACTATGTCACTTATAATTCCTTCACCCTTTTTTATTATTGGTGACATTATAAGACATCTAATATCCTTTCTTTTTTACACTTTTCTGGATGGTCCAATAGATCTGAAATTTGTTTTTGAGGAACTCACTCAGAAATCATGTTCGCATTTTTTAAATATATATACCCATTGATTTGCCAGAATTCAATATTGTTCTAATTCTTCCTTCTACAAATCAAATATAACTGATGGTAAATTTAATTTCACCTTGTAATACTTCATAAAATTGTGTTGGATTTTGTTAAAGTGTAGATAGACTCTCAAGAGTTTCTACAGCACGTAAGCCATATTCCTTACTGATAGTTAATGCATACTTCAATTATATCAGTTTTTTTCAAGTTAACATAAGTCAAACAAAAGTAATCTCTTTTAAAGCACTGATTAAAATCTGTGCGGTTAATGTACTAGTTTCTTCGCCTAGGCATTCCAAAGGAAGGTCTTCCCTGCTATTTTCAAATTTAAATTATAAAATGTATAACATCACATAAGTTGATCCTACATCAACTTACGTGATGTAGGATCAAAAATACAATTGTTTAGCAATTAATTACTAAGTGTGGCCAACAGTTTTGAAAGCAAGTAACAATGATCCCTGATTTAATATATTTGTCTTTTAAAAACTGCCAAGATTTCAAAAATGTTATATAGTTGCTCTTCAAACAGGTTCAAATAAGAGAGAAATAATATCTTATTTCCCCCAAAAATAGAAGTATTAAATGAAACCTCAATGGCATGGTTGAAAATCTGATGGGTTAAATAAAGCTGCCATCCTTGCAAAGTAAACACAATTTAGCCACATATACTCTAGGGTCTTTAACTTGCTATTTAAAAAATCTCGTTAAATCCTACTTAAGATGTACATTAATTTTGATCCCAAGCTTATTTTAATCTTATTCCAAAGACGTATTGGAAATTTAAGCATCAAATTATATCTGTTGAGATTGCACCTATACATTTGAACATAAATGGCTTACATAGTGTGTTCCCCTCCCCCCACTGATGTAGAGCAAAGGACTAAAAAATATTCTAACTACTGATTAAATCGCAGTCAATATTTCTAACAGAAATTGATTCAAGGATTTACAGTATATAGCTGAGCGTTACACTGTTTAAATTTGCTAGCAAATTATAGTGTTCTCAATAAATTGAAAAATAAAATTGAGTCCAGTTCTTAAACCACAGGCATTTATGCTTCACGATAGGTATTGTATGCCAGGTGTACGTCCTGAAATTTTGCAGAAGAAAAGATCGAATTTGATGTTGTTTTATGGCTTCCTTTACCAGGATATCCGTAAATTCTTTGGCGTTGTAACTCCAGGAAAGAAACCTGAATGTGGCATTGCGAGAAAGGAGAAACCCCAGAATAAAGAGAGGAATTCAGGGGGAACATCAACGCTAAAAGAAATCAAGGTGAGTATATAATGTTTAGTTTAAAATATGTTTAATGACGGCTTTATGATCTTTTTGCAGTGGTGTCTTTCTCTGGAGTGTTTAATTTGCCAAAACATTCCCTGATGATTGGCTGGATCATTTTATACTTCAGAGAGATTATGCTTCATGTGTTGCTGTCCTTAAATTTATATTTTGGTTGCTTTTACTTGTTGTAAGCCAACCAGATTGGCAGCTAAATCAATCAAATAAATGATTTTGTGGGTTAGTGGAAGATCAGTCAAAATAGAGTTGGAAAGGACCTTAGAGGTCTTTTAATCCAATCCCCTGCTCAAGGAGGAGACGCCTAAGCCATTTGAGACAGGTGGCTGTATGGTCTTTTCTTGAAAGCCTTCAGTGATGTAGTCTTCAAAATCAGTGATGAAGTCTGCCAAGCAGGAGACCAAGCCCCCAGAACCAAACGCTGTGCCAATTCCGAGAGGCTGGCACAAGAGCTCCTTTGATTGAGAAGAAACTGGCATGGGGTCAAAGCTGGCTTGCTGTCAGGGTAATTAAATCATGAGCCTCGAGCCAAGCTTCAAAGGAAATCCAGTTATTTATTAGGAACAACATGTCAGCAAGCACCCAAGTGCAGCCAGCTCTGACCCCACGTAATTTACGTTCCAATTATGACCCTGTTTTCCCCCCTCCCCCCAGGGTGTGTCATAAATCACATTGTTATTAACAGAGCACTTTTGGGGCCTGTAGAGATCACGCCCCTCAGGCTGGTGCAGGTAACCTAGGATACAGCCTTGGGAAAGGTATGTGTGGAATGTGCTGGTTGTGGCTCTTGCCTATGGCAACTCGAGAGCAGGCCAAGGATGCTTTGCGAGTTGGCACCCCGATCCGACCGGGGCTGGAGCATCCAGTAAAGCAACCTTGCACCCCGTATCTAGGGAGGATCCGCTCATGGCACCCCCACCCACCGTTTGGGTGGAGGATGGGACCAGGGGCTGGGAAATCACCTATGGGCCTAGCATGTCCCCCAATGCCTCTATGTCCCTCACACCCATTGGTAGGCACTGGAATTGGGTGGTGGTCTCTTGGTGTTATAGGAGGAGTGCAAGACCTTTGCAAATGGGAGACCTCTCATTACGAATACTTAGTTTAGGTTAAGGAAATGGGTCTCGTACAAGGTAAGCTTATTGACACATGCAGCATTGCATAAATGAGTTAATATTGACAGAATAGTTCTGATGAATAACGAGCCGCTTTACGTAGGTGAAAAGTTTGCCTCGCGAAGAGGATTTCAAGCAAAAAAAGGCGAATAAGAAAAAGAGGATCATTTATGATTCAGGTAAGCCTTATAACCAACGCTCCAGGTTTATTTTCTGTCGCTGCAATGATTTCTGCTTGCTAAGATTTCCCTGGGAGCGACAACTGGGGAAACTCCATAGGTTTTTTCCCCAATAGTTTTCGTTCATTAATTGCATAAAGTGTGTATCTAGAATTAAGGCATCCCTGGATTCAGGATTAAATCACTCCCCTCACGTGAAATTAATTGGGCGAAACTTTTATTTAAAGCCTTCCGCAATGCCGTGCCCTTCAGATGGTTTCAGCTACAGCTTTCATCAGTGTCAACCATCACGGCCAGAAATGATGGAAAATACTGTAAAAAAAAAAAAAAAATTACCTGGAGGGTATCAGTTTCAAACATAACATTAACATCACTGATCTATTAGGTTGGGCTTGTTCCCCGTTCACCTCCCCATTCATCTCACTGTCCTCCGTTTAACTGGCAAATGTGATCCAAGAACTCTGAATTAGTTTTTTTTTTTTAAATCTCTTGTACTTTCTGTGATTCTGAGGTTTGATTTAGGGACTTAAATCATAAATGATCGTAAATTATTTAAATTGTAATCAGTTGCTAAAGATTTTGTCCTTCTGTGTGATCTACACACTCTTAATATGTAAGATAACTCCCATAACTCTTCCCCATGGAGGATGGAGGATTATGGAAACTGACATCCAAAATATTTGGGAAGCAACAGGGTGTGTCTTCCTTGTTTAGTGTGCCTGTTGCTTCATGATACAGCATTAGGACATTCCATGAATGAGGCGGATCAGAGAAAGCCATTCTCCTGCAGTCATAATATAGAAACATTGGAACTTTTGAAATAGGAAAACAAACATTTTTAGATATGTACCAAGTGAAGAAGTTTATGGTAGTCAGCATTTATGTTTAGACACTGAGCTTGTCGATCAGAAAGGTCAGCACTTTGGTGGTTCGAATCCCTAGCGCTGCGTGAGCTCCCGTTACTTGTCCCAGCTTCTGCCAACTTAGCAGTTTGAAAGCATGTAAAAAATGCAAGTAGAAAAATAAGCACCACCTTTGGTGGGAAGGGAAGAGCTCTTTGTGCGCCTTCGGCGTTGAGTCATGCCGGCCACATGACCACGGAGACGTCTTCGGACAGCGCTGGCTCAATCAAAGAATGAAACTTTGATTTTGGGTTTTAGATTGATAGATCTTTATAGAAATGGCTTGTTCGTATTATGAAAAAGCAAAAAGTTGGGATTTGATGTTAATGTCTTATTTTACTGCAACAGAGAGGGTCGGAAGTCAATGCTTCTTTTTCTTTTTTTTTCTTACCCTTCCTCACTTTTCTTCCTCCCCACAGCTTTTCTATTTACTTTTGTGTTTTGTATTTTATAGTACTTTACAATTCAATAACAATGTTGACAAGTAATGTAGCCTAGGCAGGGAATTTCTGGATGTTAAAGTCCAGATATCTTAAATTTACCATGGTTTAGACCAACACTGAAGTGGCCCTGGAAGGGTTTCTCTCAGAGTGTTTTTACTTGTGGATGGATACAATTAAAAAAATAATGCTGTTTAATTCAGATTCTGAAGAGGAGGTACCATCAATCAAAAAATCTAAGCCGCCAGAGAGAAAGCTTTCTCCGAATCCTGCTAAACTGCTAAAGGCGGATCCTGTGGTTTACGTTTCAGAAACAGGTAACCCACTACTAAGGTGTGAGATTTTATGTTCCGCTGGAAATAAATTGGGGGGAGGGTCTTTAAATTGAAGTCATATTGTAAAATGATGGTTGAGGAAATTACATTTGTGGTATATTGCAAAGTTGCTGCAGAACTGGATTTGTGTTTGATGAATAAGTGGGCTTAGTTTTAAATGTGTATGAAGCATTATATTTGTTTAAATCACTGTATATTTAAAGAAAGGTTGTTAATAACTCTTGGAATTTCTGAGACCTTTTTGGCGGAATGTCTAGAAATTTGTGCCAGTTTCAAAACCTTTTTAAGACTGGAGGGTTTTAGAGCATAGAACAGCGATGGCAAATCTTTTTTGGCTCGCGTGCCATAACGGGGGGAGCTCAGGGGAGAGTCGTGCACGGACGTGCCACACCCATAATGCAACGCGCGACACACACACACACACGTGCGCATGCCTGCAAGAGAGGAGCTCCCCCCATTTTTCCATGCTTTTTTTCGCCCTCCCCAGGTTCCAGAGGCTTTATAGGAACCTAGGGGAGAGTGAAAAGAGCCTCCCCCACCCCCACGGAGGCCCTCCGGAGGCTTCAGGGACCTTCAGGAGGCTTCCCTGAAGCCTCCAGAGGGCTTAAACTGACCCTCCAAGTAAACTGGAAGGCAGTTCCTAAACTTCCTGTTTGCCCATAGGGCCGGTTTTTTGCGCTCCAGAGGCTTCAGGGAAGCTCCTGAAGTATCCGGAGGGCCTGCGGGGAGGGGGGGGGGCTCCTTTCGCCCTCCCCAGGCTCCTATAAAGCCTTTGGAACCTGGGGAGGGCGAAAAATGGCTTTAAAAATGGCTGGACTCAGCTGGCCAACGCGCGCATGCACACTGGCCAGCTAACAGGACAATGGCTCACGTGCCCTGACAAATGGCTCCGCATGCAACATGTGGCACGCGTGCCATAGGTTTGCCATCCCAGGCATAGAACAATAGTGTTGGAAGGGATCTTAGAGGTCTTCTAGTCCAAACTCCAGCTCAAACAGAAGACTCCCTCCCTGTCTCTCTCTCTTTCTCTCCCCCTCTTTCTCCCTCCCCCTCTCTTCCTCTCTGCCCCTCCCTGTCTCTTTCTTTCTCTTCCCTTTCTTTTTCCCTCCCTCTTTTTCTTCCTCCCTTCCCCTCTCTTCCTCTCCCTCTCTCTTTCCCCCTCTCTCCCTGTCTTTCTTTCTGCCTCCCTCTTTTTCTTCCTCTCTTCCTCTCCCTCCCTCTTTCTCCCTCCCTGCGTCCCTTTCTTTCTCTCCCCCTCTCTTTCTCCCTCCCTCTTTTTCTTCCTCCGTCCCCCCTTCTCTTCCTCTCCGTCCCTCCCTCCGTCTCTGTGTATACCCATACATACCTATACACACTCATAGATATACATACACACGAAAATATGTATACACCTACGTGTGTGTGTGTGTGTGTGTGTGTGTGTGTGTGCACAGAGAGTGACTTGCAGTCCCGTGGTTGCGATTTGCAGTCTGAATTTCTGCAAGCTCCTGTTCCGTTGCCTTTTGCTCCTGCGATATTTCGACTTCCACTCCTTAGTGGCACGTTCTGGATGGGTTTGGACATCCCTGGAGGCCACGATCGTGTCCTAGGTAGGAAATCTTGGCGCCTTGCCCACGTGGCCTCCACTAGCTCTACCAGGAGGATTGTATGGAAAGTTAAGAGGCACCTCACCAGTGGGTCCGATGGCCCTTTTGTGCCTCCAAAGGGCGCGGGGGGGGGGGGACTTTTGCAACACAACTCTTGCTGTGTCCCTGGCTGATTATGAAATTCAGGAGGGCCAAGGGGCAGGATGAGGTTGCCTCCAAGCGGCCTCTTATCCCCTTGCAAATCTCAGCAAACTTTGGAGTGCCTTTTCTCTGAGATCCGCCTGCCCAATCCCCTTGCATTCCAAGATAACCACCTCTTGGTCTGATGATCCCGAAGGACACATTGTTCCCAGGGCCTCTTAATCTTAATGACGATCAAAGAGCCTTTATCTCAGTTAGATAAAGACGGAAAGTTACTGTTACATTGTTTGTTTGTTTTTAATCAGCTCTTATGATTTCTTTTGTCTTCACTGTAAACAACCTTGGAAGTGGATTTCTACATCTGCACAAAAACTTTGGTCGAGGCCGGTTGTGAAGTCAGACTACATTTTCTGTCTAGTTGTGATAAGAATAAATGACCTATCACACACACACAGGCTGATTTATCTACGGGCAGTTGATTGGGTTTCTTGGTCCCTCGGCAAATGTTCTGAAAAATTGTCGCCGTTATTTTTCATTGGTCAGCCTGCTACAAGTCATGGACGGGGTAGTCCTCAACATACGACCACAATTGAGCCGAAAATCCATGTTGCCGAGCGTGACGTGGGTGAAGTGGGCTTTTTCTCCATTTTAACCTTTCTTATTACCGTCGTTAAGGGCATCACTGCAGTTATTAAAGTTAGCACCAGGGTGGTTAAGCGAATCTGGTTTCCTCATTGATTTTCCTTTCACGTGACCCTGGTCATAAATACGAACCAGTTGCCAAGCGGCCATATTTTGATCACGTGACGCAGTCGTAAGTGTGGAAAACGATCATAAGTCACTTTTTCCTGGGCCGTTGTAACTCTGAACGGTCCCTAAAAAAACCGTTGCAAGTTGAGGACTAGCTGTACAATTGATGACTTGGCCTTGAGTCTAGAGCCAACTGAAATCGAGGAATCTATTCCAGAATCAGAGCTGGTCGGAAGGACTTGTCTTCCGCTCTTAATCTGAAACAAGTTTAGAGCTTAAAATGGGGATATTGTAATCCTTCAAGAGTTTCCCAGTGTTGCCCCTATTCTTAATTTCCAAGGAACGCAATTCCTATAACAATAGTTCTATACATTTCCTTGCCACAAATCAATTCATTTCAGTAAATTACTGTATTTTTCAGAGTATAAGACGCACCTTTTCCCCCCTTAAAAGTGGGTGAAAATCTGGGTATGCCTTAAACACTGAATGCAGCATTTTTGGCCTCCCAAAACCCTGCCCCGTGCATCCCGTTTTTCACCCCCCCCTCCCCAAAAAAGGTTTGGGAGGCGTGTAGAATTCTCCTAGGGGCTGGGGAGGGCAAAAACAAGCAAAAAACAGGCCCATTTTTCACAAAATCGAGGGTGTTTTTGCCCTCCAGCTCCCAGGAGCACTCTGGAAGCCTCCTAATGGCTATGAATAGCCATTTTTGCAAAGGGAGTGGGGTTTCGGGAGGCAAAAAAAATGCTGTATTCAGTGTATCAGACGCACCCAGATTTTCACCCTCTTTTTTGAGGGAAAAAGGTATGATTTATACTCTGAAAAATACAGTAGATGTATAGATATAGGAATAATTAGGAATGTATAAAATGTATTTGAATAACAAATGATTACGTTAGCACTGTCAAAAAGGATTGTAACTTATACAAAACTATTTTTACAGTTACTTGTTTTTTAAAGTTTTTAATTTTCAATAAATGTTTTTTAAAAAGTTGCTAGAAGGACTTAATCCCAGTGGTGTTAGGTTTAAAAAAATAAAATGTAAAGATAGCGGGAGGCAGTGGTTAGAATTGCTGTCACAATAATTTGAAGATCTATTCATATCTGTTTTAAGTTTCTTAAGGGTGAAAAATGAGACTAAGGCCTGAATGGATTCAGGGGATCAATTTTATGTTTTTATTATAGCATAGAATTTGACATTTTTCCCTTAAGAGAGCCGTAACCATGTTACCTAAATTACTCATGCTAGAATTACATGCAATTTTAATGTCGCTGCAGGAAAGCATAAAATCCTCTTCGTATATCATCATTGGAGGGCAGTGTTTGAACAGTGGTCTAATCATATTTTAAGTTGGAACTGAAAATATTCATTTTCAGAACCAAAATGATTCTATGGGCTGCCAGTTTTGAGAATTAATTTTTTGATAAATACACTTTTTTAATGGAGATATCACCGATGGTTGTATGCTTCTCTCTGAAAGGGTGTAATTCTGTATCCTGAATATTTATTGGGTCTCAGATTCAACTCCAGACAGGATGGCCTTCCCATTTTAAATTGTTAGGAATTCTTCTTTTGGTCAGCTGGTAAAAATTAAAAGGGCGCAGTGGCTCAGTCGCTAAGATGCTGAGCTTGTCGATCAGAAAGGTCAGCAATTTGGCGGTTTGAATCCCTAGCGCTGCGTAACGGTGTGAACTCCTGTTACTTGTCCCAGCTTCTGCCAACCTAGCAGTTCGAAAGCATGTAAAAATGCAAGTCAAAAAATAGGAACCACCTTTGGTGGGAAGGTAACAGCATTCCGTGCGCTGTTTAGGTGTTTAGTCATATGCTGGCCACATGACCACAGAGACGTCTTCGGACAACGCTGGCTCTTCGGCTTTGAAAGTGAGATGAGCACCGACCCCTAGAGTCGGGAACAACTAGCACATATGTGCGAGGGGAACCTTTACCTTTAATTAAAAATTAAAGCATTTCCTAGAGGAGATTTTCTGCCCCTGAACCCACCACTCCTCCACACTCAACTTTAAAAGCAGAATCTATTTGAACAAATAAAGGTGATTTTTTTTCTCTCTCTCTCCTTTTGCAAAATTTATTCAGGACAGTCTGAATGAGAGATAGATTTCTTTGTGAAACGTATAACCCGGTCAGTTGTTTTCACATCTCTCTCTCTTTTTTCTTTTTGGGGAAAATGTTGCCAGCTCGAAACCAGGAGGCCTTGCTGGGCGTCGTGTTCTTGGGGAAATCATTAATGTCCCCTCTTCGTTTTGTTTTTGTCCGCCAGATGAAGATGAGGACTTTGTTAGCAAGAAACCCCCTCCGAAAGTTCAACAGTTTGAGAAGCCGGTGAAGGCGACTCAAGGGACGACGGGAGCCTCCCAGCCGGATTCCAAACCAAAAGTCAAAAACAAACCCTTATCTCCTGTGAAACTGACACCAACGTCCGTCATTGATTACTTTGGGACTGTTAGCGTTCAACGGTCAGAGAAGAAGCTGGTTTCAAGCAAACGAAAAGAAGTGAGTAAAGCAGAAATATTACTGGCTGAGGGGTGTTATTTACGAGCCAGAAATTCTCCTCATTCTCACATCCTTGTAAACAGACCACAGGTAACCAACCCTCAGTTTACAATCACAACTGACTCCCAACATTTATGTTATTAAGCGAAACGTTCATTAAGTGAGCTTGGCCCTGGTTTTACGACTTTTCCTGCCACAGTCGTTAAGTGAATCTGGTTTCCCCATTGACTTTGCCTGCCGGGAGGTCACAAAAGGGGACCACGTGCCCCCCCAGCACACTGCAACCGTCATAAATATGAATCAGTTGCCAAGCGTCTGAATTTTGATCACGCGACCACAGGGATTGCTGCAGCCGTCGGAAGCGTGACAAACGGGCATCGGTCCCCCCAGAACGGTCACTAAATGAACTGTTGTAAGTTGAGGACCAACTATAGCCGTGTTGGCGAACCTATGGCAAGAGTGCCACAGGTGGCACACAGAGCCCTCTCTGGGCATGTGAGCCGTCGCCCTCGTTCAGCTCCGCTGTGCATGAACGCGCGCCTCCCACTGGCCAGCTAATTTTTGGGTCTGTGCCGCGCGAGGGGGGGGATGTGGGAGACATGCATGCATGTACAGGGGGAGGGGGCACGCACACATATGTGGGGAGAGCACAGGTGTGGCGAGAGGACATTGCACGCGTATGCATGGGGGGGGCGTAGGTCATGGGGGGGTCTGCGCATTGCATTATGGGCGTGGGTGCGCGCATGCGTTTGGCATGCGACAACAAAAAGATTAGCCATCACTGACTTATAGAGACAAAAAAAAATCTGTGATCCGCTTCGTTCTTATCGTCTGAACTTCAACGTCTGATGTTTTAGTATTTTGGTCCTGCAATTTTTTTTTTATTCTATCCTTTGGGGTATTGGAAGCCACGCAGAGTCACTTGGCAGAGTTATGGGTGGCATAAATTGAATGAATGAGTGAATGAATGAATGAATGAATGAATGAATGAATGAATGAATGAACACGAGAGCAGTAATTTGAAAATGTGTCCCGTAGAGAAGACAAAACAACAAGTCGGCCTTAAACTATGATGACCTGAACTGAGTTACAAGAAGAATGTAAATATGAACATCGGACTAATCTCATTCTGCTTCTTCTTTGGATGTGATGCAGCCAAGCAAGGATCCCACCATCAATGATGAGGCCATCGCTAAAGAACTGCAGCTGGAAGAGAATTCAAAGGTAACATCGGGTAGAATTCTCTTGTCTTACATAACTTAGCATTTAATACACGGTTCCTTTTTTTTTATTTTCTTTTATAAAATATTTTTATTAAAAAGGTTTTTTTTTAATAAAAACAATTTTTCCCCAATTTACAAAAAATAAAATCACTTCATCCTTAGGAGGACTGTGATGAGAACTGCTTTATAAACTAGCTTTTTCTGAAACTTTGTTCTAGTAACTGTAAACTCTCTGTAAATTTGTGAGTAAACTCACGAATTTTGTAGCCTTACATGAGAGTCATTGAAACTTTTAAAACAAATCCACAATGCTGCCTACACGAAATAGACTTAATAATTGGGAAGTAACATTGAAAGAAGTTGAAAGTAATATTGAAAGTAAAATTTGTGATGATCGTGAGTTAAAAGACATGCATGGGTCTTTTCATCCTTCTCTTTTGTCCTACTTCTTGTTATTTTGCTTGTTAAATATTTATTCTGCCAGTAAGAAGTTCCAGCTGGTTGCCTTTTCAAAAACAATATACCATAAATACAGAGCCATGTTATAAATAATAATTCAAAAGTAGCAGAGAATTAGTCACTATTTAAAATGAGATGAATCATCATCTAAAAATAACTTCTCTTGCAAATCAAACTGACAAGTATTTGATCCGGCCACACATTTATTTAAGAAAGCACATCAGGAAGATTTTGAACATGGTGGCGATGATTTTAATACTCAATGTTGTGAAAAGGTTAGGGTTAGGGTTAGGGGTTAGCATAGCTGGCTGGGGAATTCTGGGAGTTGAAGTCCACACGACTTAAAGTCACCAAGGTTGAGAAACCCTGGTTTAAACCATCAGAAATTGGCAATGCCTGCAGAGTCACAGGTGGTTTCCAGTTGAGAGATTATTGTGTTTTTCTGCCTTCAATCACTGAACCATCCCCTCGATATAGGTATATTTCTGTAACCCAGACTCATTTCCAATTCAAATTATAAGCATGAGGGGTTAGAGATAGTCGTAATGTCCAGAAATTATTCTACCTGAGATGGTGTCCAAAATTGGAACCAATGTGACATCAGAGTGGTTAGATCTCGCTTATGAATTCAGCTCCTTTAAAGCAATTTTGGGCTTTATCAAATCAAATCACTTTATTGCGGTCATTAAGAAAAGGGCTTTGATATAAATAGGTTAGCTGCAAATGCATTGAAATAAAGAGGTGGTAAAATATGAAACTTTTGCTTGGCGGTTAGTAGGAGTCAGTTTTGCGTCAGAGGTGGTCATTACCTCCTAAGGATGAAGTGATTTTATTTTTTGTAAATCCGTTTCCCCGGTTTCATATTATCGTAATGTATCATTTTATTTTCACATGGCTATTCTTTTCAGTCCAATTGGCTAGCGGGGAAGAAGGTTGTTGCAGTACAGCTTCAATTTTTCATAGGCATGCAATTTTAAAAAAAGTTATAGCACACAAGGAAAATAAATATTCTATATGCATTTCAGAATTAAAATGCTTGCAGAGTTGTGTTAATTTGGAGAGTTTAAATGTCTGGGTAGGTGTGTTTGAGAAGGAGAAAGAGAGAGAGATGTGTCTGTGTGTATACATTTCTTTTATCTGTTTTCTACAATTACTGTTAGCCTGGCTTCAATTTACTACTAAAATAAGAAATATGAACGTTATCTATTTAGCTGAATAACCTCCTGCTTACGATATACAAATAGAGCCTGTGGGATTTTTGCTAATAATGTTATATATCAGACTTGTGTGGGGAGGCAAGTTTTGAGGTTATACTTGGCTGAAGATTAGATTTGGGTAATGTTCCCAGTGCTACTTGGAGAAAACAGGTTAGTTTTCTTAAAAAATAGAAGATAATAACAGGATGTTGTATTGTGTCGAAGCACAATGAAGAAAAAATTGACTCATTTTTTCTCCCTGTGTTCAACTGAATCATTGAAAATCAGATCTGGTTTTGTATTTGCACCAGGAAATAATTGAGTTTCAGAATTGTGTTGTGTTTATTCATGTCTATGAAGGGTGCGTGGTCTTCCATACCCCAATTTCTTCCAACGCCACTAAACTTAAATCTCTGATTCCAAATAAGATGGTGTATCTTTCTCCACCTAGTGTCTATATAAATATAGCTCTGGACTTCAATTCCCAGAATTCCTGAGCCAAACAGGAACTTGTTGAACGTTGTTGAAGGTCCTGGCTGGGTGGGAGCTGAAGACCACAGGTCATAAAAAGGGCCATCGTCACCCACTCCTATTGTAGCCCAGGAGTCCCCAACCTTGGCAACTTGAAGACTTCTGGACTTCAAGTCCCAGAATTCCCCAGCCCAGCTTGGCTGAATGAAGAATTCTGGGAGTTGAAGTCCACAGGTATTGACATTGCCAAGTCTGGAGACTCCTGCTCTAGCCCACTGAATTAAATGAGATTGGGGGGGGGGGGCAATTCTTTTCCCAACAGTTTCCCAATGAGCCTCACAAGCCCTCACTACTCAAGAGAGAAAAAGGGACGTGTTTCCTAGAAATCTTTGGGGCATGCTGAGATCCCCCCCCCCTCCCCCAGTATTCCAGAGTAAGGAGTCAGGCAGACAGAGCCGGCCTCCTTTTTCTCCCCAGCAGTGGGTTGAAACAGGCAATTTCACAATACATTTTGCACTGTTTGCAGCGGGAAAGACAATTGCATGAAGACGAAGAATTTGCACAAACGTTGGCTATGTTGGATGAAACGCCCAGAAAGAAAAAGGTAAGTGAGAAATTATATCTATATATACACATACATACCTACCTACCTACCTACCTACATACATACATACATATATATATCACACACTCTCTCTGTCCGTGTGTGTGTGTGTGTGTGTGTGTGTGTGTGTGTGCCAGCATAACTCTGGAACACCTGGAGCAATTTCAACCAAACTTGGTACACAGATGACTTACTCTCTGGAGAAAAATACTGGGTGGGGGGGTAAGAGATCGGGGTGTG